GAGCGCGCGAGCGCGCGAGCGACCGGGCTTCAGCGGCTGGAGGTGTGTCTGAGCGAGCTTGATCACTAGCAACTCACCTCTCCGCAGCCGCATAACAAGGTCTATCGCTGGCCTTTGCAATCAGTGCCAATTGCAATGTTCCGATCGCATTGAGCAGTCCTCCACTCTCGCAGACGCCCTCAGCGCCGACCAGTACGAGATCCACCTTTGACATGATGTATGCAGCGGCGGAATCACACACCACCGTGCAAGGGATGCCGGCCGCTTGAAGCTCGTTGTAAGTCTTGATACCCAAGCCCATAGGTCGAGCTTCTGTGACGTAAACGCTTGGACATCGGCCAGCTTGGGCAGCTGCTAGAAGGATGTGCATCACTACCCGCGAGTAAGAGTGAGTGAGAATCACCTGTGAGTGCGAGCCATGGGTCATTTGTCTCCATCAGTAGCAGCACAACGCATAGAGCAGAGGTGAAGACGAGGCCACGTGCGCACTTACCGCGTCGTCCTTGATGAATGACATCGCCCTCCTTGCAATGACGTCTCTGCACAAAGGCACAGTCTTGCCTGCATATTCCCTGGCAACGGCAATCAGGTCCCTCTTCATCTCTTCGAATTCTCGATCTCCCCAAGCCATAGCGCCCACCAATCTGGCAAACAGATCCAGGCCAGCCGTCGCAGGAACAGGATTAGACAGAGCATCCTTGAGCTCTTCCGAAGCCTTCTTGAGAAGTGTGGTGAGCTCCGTGGTCGTCTGAACGGATGTCATAGATATCAGGTCACAAAGGCTGAGCATGGCGGCGATGGGCATGGGCATGTCGGCGGAGGATGCGAGATGCGCTTGATATGAAGAATGCACATCGAAAGACGCCATCTTGACGCTCGATCCAGATGCGCTTGCTATCTTCGACTCAGCATCGTGGAGAGGTGCGAGAGCCATGATGATGATTGCTGAGCAGTAGAGGAGCTAGATGCTCACCCTCGGGCTGCGTTCTCGAAATGGGAACGCTACAGAGTCAGCTGGTGCTGCTGGCTACACGAGGCGTACGGTTTGGACGGAAACTTGGCTGCTGTGCCGGCTGCAGCTTGTGGCGCAATCAACGATGTGTTCGCAGCTACAGATGAGGTTGCGTGCAAGTGAAGCACGTTGGAGCAGATGATACCGCACTTCGTCCCGAGGTCGGAGCGGATGCAGGCGCAGCAGGGGTGCGCGCTTTTGAGTCGATGAAGTCGGCCAACACGTCCTTTGCACGGGTGCGCTTCTTGGAGATGATGACTTGCTACGATAATTTGAAGGTGCGTGGA